GGTCCACACCTTTCATGAACTTATTGTACTCGCAAATTGCAGTCGGTTTGTTCACTGTTACCTGTTGTATTCCACTTGTTCCGTCTCGGTTGCGAATTCGCTTCCTTCGCTGAACTCGCTGAGTGTCTGCATTGTGGATGTTGGTAATGATTGAAACCACTCGCTTGTCTTTCCACAGGAGAATGAAGGTATTATCTTTGCGGCGGTATACTGTGGTATCCAGTGGAAGTTTACCCTTGGCTAGAGCTTGCAATACCTTTGGGGCGCCACGTAGCATTCTAATTGTGCCACATGTGTACACCCCAAGTTCTCTCAATGTTTCTGTCAGGGTAACCGAGTTGTAGTAATTATCCATGTACAAATGGTAACCCTGGTTCACTAAAGGCTGCATCAACCCCGTTACTGTATCCACTATCGTCTTACCAATACCTGAGTATACGTCAAAGTCATATATGTACCCAGAGACAGATTCAGCAAGCATATAAAGTTTCACACCATACTTGTCTGGTTTGTTTGGATTGTACACTTTGAAGGATAGTCGGCCTCGCCATGCCATTGTACCCTCATCCAAACACAACTCTTTCTTGGGGATGTAAACTTGAGCAAACCTCTCTTTCAAGTAATCCATCACTGGTCTCACTTTTATCAACTTATCACGATTGTTCACGGGCACTGCATTGGTATTGAATGTGTGGAAAAACTGGTTTATATGCTGGAATTGTCTGGACGGCATGAACAAGCTGAAGAAACGAGCATGCCATGGCTTTGCTGTTTGCCAATACATCCTCATAGTTGGGAGCCTAATTATGCCCATCAATATGAACAGTCCTAGGAATCGCGCCATTTCACTCACCTTCACTGGGGTCCAAATATCTGATACATTTTCATTGGCCATCCGGAATAACTGCGAGGTGTACAAATTTGTTTCAACGGTAAAGAACTCAAGGAGGGCACGCGTGATGAACAATTGAATATAAGCCAGTGCACTAGTAGGCTTGGGAATTTTCAGTCCAAGATTTCCAGTAAAATCATCAACAACTGGAGAAGTATTGCTACGACTCCAGCCCTCACCAGCTCCAGCCTGCCGAGTACGTACTGTACGTGTACGCCTTTCAGCAGGCTCGAATGAATCCTCATCACTTATACTTTCAGAATCACTTGGCGCAATTTGTCGTGTGTTCCTACGACGAGTAACATGTCTGGTAGCTACTTTTCTAGGTAGCCTAGATGCACCACGTGTGCGCCGAGATGGAGGAGGAGGAGGGGGTCGCGGTGCCTCCTCTTCCTCGGTGAGGGCCTCAGTCTCCTCATCACTCGTTGCCGTATCATTCCCTCTAGCTCTAGGTACACTATAATCGTTGTGGGTTCCAAAATCTTCCTCCAATACCTCTACATCACCTTCAGCTTCTGATAAATCCTCCACAAGGCCTGGAATTTTCGTTGGTGTGAGCTTCACTCCGCTCCACTTCTTAAAAATTTGGGTTATTTTGTCCACTCTCGATGACCTGGAGGCTTCCTTGGGCGTAGAAGTGCTTGGGCCTTGACCTTGATCCATTTTTGATGAAGTAATTGGGTATAATCCACACGGAAACGGGTAAAAATGCTCGAGTTTGGCGCGCGAGGGGAGCGTGATCGACTCACGACACGTGACACGAAAACAATGGGCCCGTCACGTGACCGGGTAGGCCGACGCGCCAGGCGGCCTAGTGGTGAGAAAGAGAACTTCATGGCGCGTCGTTTGAAACAAACCCCAATGAAATCGGATTAAAATTGAATTTTATACAAATATTTTAAAAGAAGACATAACTTTATGTCCACTATGCGTTTACGTTAGACGAAACCGGACGCGCCGGCGCGTCCAGATAGCGCGAAAGTGCTAATTATGTTCATAAAACAATAAACAATCACTAATATGCACACCATAATTTTGAGTACAGCGATGGTTCACACATTTTATTATATACATATACCACAATTCACTGTATGGAATAATATTACAGCAAAAAAACTAAGAAAAAATCAATCAGAGACATTGAAATAATTAGGTAATAATAATAATTTGTGGCAACTGCCGCCTGACAGCTCGAGTGGAGTAGACCTCGTCTGGCGAAGGCTCTGTCAACGCCCCTTTTTTGCCACACTTCCCTACCCTATTAAGGCTAAAATATGCCACCTACGATTTTTTTTTTTATTTTTTCCGTGATCAGGGAACAAAAATGAACACTTCTATAAGATGAAAGAATTTTTTGGATTTTTTTTTTTTGTTGTTGTGCTTGTGGGTGTGAATTCCATTTGGGCCCCTAGCGGTTTGAGGGTTAATCACTGTGCTGCTCGCCTTCCAAATACGGCACATGCTCCTATGCGCAGGAAACAAAATTCTAGGGAAAAAATTATTTTTGTTTTTGAAAATGTTAAATACCCTTCCCTGGTCAAATAAGTAAAAAAAAAAATTCTTTTAAATTACTTTGGCCACAATGGGTTCCAGAAAATGGTGTGTGACGTCACGATTTGGTGGTCGCCTGTCACATACACTCCTGAAGCCAGTCGCCCGCCAGCTTGAACATGCGCAAATTGCCACAATTATTTTTTTGTTCATTTTTTGCGTACATTTAGAAATAATGTATATTTGTTTTGTTTTTTCTTGCCAATCCTATGTATAATGAACATGTACACAATATTATGGCAATAGAACATCCGTACTGTCCCAAGACACTTGTGTTATGGGTCCACATATATTGCTCATATATCCAATGTTTCATGTTCATTTATGTATATTTACAACATATTTACACACTATACACTCTCACACACTATATACATTCACCATCAATACACTCAGAACTTCGCGAGTCTGAGCTGCCACACCCAGCCAGCCCTCCCTCACTCCTCCAACACCTAGCTTACTCCTTACACCTTACTCACCAACATTCCTCCTCCCACCATACTGTTATTGCTTTCATTACACTATTTACAAACATTATGTATACTTATCTACATGTTTTATTCACCATAACTATGCAAGTAAACCGGTATTGTGTCCAAACAGTACAGTGGTCACCATACACTGCATGAGAAATCACACAGCAGCCAGCAGACAATGCTACGATTACGACGCCACCTTCCTCATCAAAATGGCTCCACCCACAATACTACGCACATATGTACATGGGTATATGCACACATTGTATATACCCATGTACATATGTGTGTTCACCATAGCGAACTACTAAGCTAGTATGGTGAGCAAAACAAGAATGACTGCCACACATAGTGAGGCTACCTGGATTCCCCTCCCTCCCTCCCTCCCTCACCAAAGTTCCTCCTCCCACAATACTACGCACACATATGTACACGAGTATATACACACATTGTATATACCCATGCACATATGTGTTCACCATATACATGCACCCAACATGTGGAGTTGATCCAATAATACATGCACTCATCATGGGAAGTTGATCTCATAATACATGCACCCAACATAGGGAGTTGATCCCATAATACATGCACCCAACATGGGGAGTTGGGTGCATGTATTACCATAGCAAACCACTAAGCTAGTGTGGTGAACAAGACTGCCATACACAGTGAGGCTATCTTGAGGTTATCTTGAGATGATTTCCGGGCTTTAGTGTCTCCGCGGCCCGGTCCTCGACCAGGCCTCCACCCCCAGGAAGCAGCTCGTGACAGCTGACTAACTCCCAGGTACCTATTTACTGCTAGGTAACAGGGGCATTCAGGGTGAAAGAAACTTTTGCCCATTTGTTCTGCCTCGTGCGGGAATCGAACCCGCGCCACAGAATTACGAGTCCTGCATGCTATCCACCAGGCTACGAGGCTACCTCGATTCTCTCCCTCCTTCCCACACCAAACTTCCTCCTCCCACAATACTGCGCACAGCGCTAATTATCACCACAATCCTGCTATTATCACAATCTTGGTCACTAAATCCTGTAAATAAATAATTGAAGCCAAGTTTATTTTGTAAAATAACATATGAAGTTGTTTGAAGATTCCTAGATGGATGAAATAATGCTGTGGTGCTGTGAACATTGGGAACCGCATTGATTCACTGATATTTGAACATTGTACACAGTCATTATCACACTCGGGCTCTTCTGTAATACTATCATGGTTAAATAATACCAGTTATATATATGACATTATTAGGTGATGCTGCAGTCACAAGCTGAACAGCAGTGCTGTGAGCTCATGCTGCATGCACCAGCCTTAGTTGCTCACTCAGCACTGAGGCCCCTCACACCCGGGAATGTTGCCCACGATTTTTTTTTTAAATGGCGACTGTTTACAAGAGCCCTGAGGAAGCCGATGTGAACCCCATGTCGCTGCGGGAGTTTTGAATCATACACTAAAATTATAAGATCCTGGAGGCGCGTTGCGCACCCGCCATTGAGCACCTGCAGGCGCGTTACGCAGTTCAGTGGTTAAAATACAGTATGTACTGATATATTTTTTAATTGTAGTCTGTGTGAAAATTCAAATTATATTGGTTATGGTAAAAAATTGTGAATATGTTCACTTTTGGACTTCACCGGTAAGAATTGTCCGAATGTCTGCCTTATCCGGTGTGGATGGCCGGGGGGGGGGGGGGGGGAAGAGGTGTCCTTCCCATACAGCTTGGATAAGCGAGCTCATACAGTACCTGTATTGGCTTCAAAATTGGTGAATATATCAATCCATAGTTTACAGTGAACTCTATTAACATTCTTCTTTAGTTAGAAAAATGGTGTGTTATCTTATTTGTGCTCGTATGATCAAGCCATATCCAAAAGAATGTACTGTGCTTTACATTAATTGGTTACCTTAAGAGATCAAACCATGTGTAATTGATGATACAGTATTATGTTTTACTTAGATCACACTAAAGAGATCAAACTAACTGGCTGACTGTAGACCTAATGTACTGTGGTATATATTCTTCTACTGCTCTAATGTGATCAACCCATACCTAGTTATTTACATTTTGACACTTTCAGGAAGATGACACTTGGAATGGCCCCGATAACTTTGTAGAAGTGAAAGATGGTAAGTACCACTTATCATGTAACATAGTACTGTAGTGTATAAAACCACCCAAGAGCTAATAATCTCACATGGAAATGAGAAATATATATTGAGGAAAAGCTAAATGTGTGAGATGAGTCACACATGATTCTCATATTATATGGAAGAGAGCTGCAAGCAGTAGACTAGATGTTGCATAGGTTTCCAGGGTGTAAAGTCAAACACTTGAGATGTGAATTATGAGGATCCGGAAAAAACTCTGCATGTTGGGTGCATGTATTATAGGATCAACTCCTCATGTTGGGTGCATGTATTATAGGATCAACTCCCCATCTTGGGTGCATTTATTATGGGATCATCCCATGTATTATGGGATCATACCCCCATGTATTATGGGATCATCCCCTCATGTATTATGGGATCAACTCCCCATGTTGAGTACATGTATTATGGGAACATCCCCCCCATGTTGGGTGCATCTATTATGGGATCATCCCCCATGTATTATGGGATCATCCCCCCCCATGTATTATGGAATCATCCCCCCCCCATGTATTATGGGATCATCCCACATGTATTATGGGATCATCCCCCATGTATTATGGGATCATCCCCCCATGTATTATGGGATCATCCCCCCATGTATTATGGGATCATCCCCCCATGTATTATGGGATCATCCCCCCATGTATTATGGGATCATCCCCCCATGTATTATGGGATCATCCCCCCATGTATTATGGGATCATCCCCCCATGTTGGGTGCACGTATTATGGGATCATCCCATGTATTATGGGATCATCCCATGTATTATGGGATCATCCCATGTATTATGGGATCATCCCATGTATTATGGGATCATCCCATGTATTATGGGATCAACTCCCCATGTTGGGTGAATGTATTACAGGATTAACTCCCCATGTTGGGTGCATGTATTATGGGATCAACTCTCCATGTATTATGGAAACAACTCCCCATGTTGGGTGAATGTATTATAGGATCAACTCCCTATGTTGGGTGCATGTATTATGGGATCAACTCCCTATGTTGGGTGCATGTATTATGGGATCAACTCTCCATGTATTACGGAAACAACTCCCCATGTTGGGTGAATGTATTATAGGATCAACTCCCTATGTTGGGTGCATGTATTATGGGATCAACTCCCCATGTTGGGTGCATCTATTACTGGTAAAAGTGATTGTGGTGTGGTTCCATGTATTTTCCCTGTGGCATGGGTTCCTCCTGTATCATCTATTTCCTCCTGACCTCCATTGCTAATTTTCCCTTTATACATTTTGTACCACTTCTCCCATTTCCCCAAAACACAAATTTTCCCTTGTACTGGGTGTTACCACTGTTACTCTTGTACTGACAGTTACCATTGTTACTCTTGTACTGGGTGTTACCACTGTTACTCTTGTACTGGATGTTACCCGTGTTTCCCTTGTATCATATTTATCGTGTCTTCCCTTAAACCATTTTATTTTCCTTCTAACTCTTTGTGCCGTAAGTTTTCCCATTTTCACTGCTGTACGCACATCCCCCCCCCCCCCGTGCTCCATATACCTCTTGATTTGTCAGTTCCCTTCCTCACCCTCACAAAAAACTGTTCCCCAATTATTCTGGCAATTTCACCCAAACTTTCAACACATATTGAACCCTTAGCTTTCCTCTGTATCCCCCTGTTCTCCATGTTCCACCTGTTCTTCCTGTTCCCCATATATCCTCTGCACCCGTCTGTTCTTTATGCAGTGACTGATACCCTTGTACAATTTAACTTGTGCTCTCAGTTATCAACACCTTGTGTTCCTATTATGTGCTCTGTTATCAACACCTTGTGTTTCCATTATGTGCTCTGTTATCTACACCTTGTGTTTCCATTATGTGCTCTGTTATCAACACCTTGTGTTTCCATTATGTGCTCTGTTATCAACACCTTATGTTTCCATTATGTGCTCTGTTATCAACAACTTGTGTTTCCATCATGTGCTCTGTTATCAACACCTTGTGTTTCCATTATGTGCTCTGTTATCAACACCTTGTGTTTCCATTATGTGCTCTGTTATCAACACCTTGTGTTTCCATTATGTGCTCTGTTATCAACACCTTGTGTTTCCATCATGTGCTCTGTTATCAACACTGTGTGTTGTCTGGTGTTGGTACTACTTCATGGACACCTGCCTTGTTTTACATTTGTGCAGTACGTGTACTTGTTCTGTACATGTTCTCATTACGCCATCACCCATTCATCCATGTTCACTATATTTCTGATCCACCTTGTGGGGAAGTGCTGACCCACAGTGTTGTGTGGGGAAGTGCTGACCCACAGTGTTGTGTGGGGAAGTGCTGGTCCACAGTGTGGTGTGGGGAAGTGCTGGTCCACAGTGTTGTGTGGGGAAGTGCTGGTCCACAGTGTGGTGTGGGGAAGTGCTGGTCCACAGTGTTGTGTGGGGAAGTGCTGGCCCACAGTGTGGTGTGGGGAAGTGCTGGTCCACAGTGTTGTGTGGGGAAGTGCTGGTCCACAGTGTTGTGTGGGGAAGTGCTGGTCCACAGTGTTGTGTGGGGAAGTGCTGGTCCACAGTGTTGTGTGGGGAAGTGCTGACCCACAGTGTTGTGTGGGGAAGTGCTGACCCACAGTGTTGTGTGGGGAAGTGCTGACCCACAGTGTGGTGTGGGGAAGTGCTGGTCCACAGTGTTGTGTGGGGAAGTGCTGACCCACAGTGTGGGGAAGTGCTGGTCCACAGTGTTGTGTGGGGAAGTGCTGACCCACAGTGTTGTGTGGGGAAGTGCTGACCCACAGTGTTGTGTGGGGAAGTGCTGACCCACAGTGTTGTGTGGGGAAGTGCTGGTCCACAGTGTTGTGTGGGGAAGTGCTGACCCACAGTGTTGTGTGGGGAAGTGCTGGTCCACAGTGTTGTGTGGGGAAGTGCTGGTCCACAGTGTTGTGTGGGGAAGTGCTGACCCACAGTGTTGTGTGGGGAAGTGCTGACCCACAGTGTTGTGTGGGGAAGTGCTGGTCCACAGTGTTGTGTGGGGAAGTGCTGGTCCACAGTGTTGTGTGGGGAAGTGCTGGTCCACAGTGTGGGGAAGTGCTGGTCCACAGTGTTGTGTGGGGAAGTGCTGGTCCACAGTGTGGGGAAGTGCTGGTCCACAGTGTTGTGTGGGGAAGTGCTGGTCCACAGTGTGGGGAAGTGCTGGTCCACAGTGTTGTGTGGGGAAGTGCTGGTCCACAGTGTGGGGAAGTGCTGGTCCACAGTGTGGTGTGGAGAAGTGCTGGTCCACAGTGTGGGGAAGTGCTGGTCCACAGTGTGGGGAAGTGCTGGTCCACAGTGTGGTGTGGGGAAGTGCTGGTCCACAGTATGGTATGGGGAAATGCTGGTCCACAGTGTGGTGTGGAGAAGTGCTGGTCCACAGTGTGGGGAAGTGCTGGTCCACAGTGTGGTGTGGAGAAGTGCTGGTCCACAGTATGGTATGGGGAAATGCTGGTCCACAGTGTGGTGTGGGGAAGTGCTGGTCCACAGTGTGTGGAAGTGCTGGTCCACAGTGTGGGGAAGTGCTGGTCCACAGTGTGGGGAAGTGCTGGTCCACAGTGTGGGGAAGTGCTGGTCCACAGTGTGGGGAAGTGCTGGTCCACAGTGTGGTGTGGGGAAGTGCTGGTCCACAGTGTGGTGTGGGGAAGTGCTGGCCCACAGTGTTGTGTGGGGAAGTGCTGGTCCACAGTGTTGTGTGGGGAAGTGCTGGTCCACAGTGTTGTGTGGGGAAGTGCTGGTCCACAGTGTTGTGTGGGGAAGTGCTGGTCCACAGTGTGGTATAGGGAAGTGCTGGCCACAGTGTGGGGAAGTGCTGGTCCACAGTGTGGTGTGGGGAAGTGCTGGTCCACAGTGTGGTGTGGAGAAGTGCTGATCCACAGTGTGGGGAAGTGCTGGTCCACAGTGTGGGGGAAGTGCTGGTCCACAGTGTGGGGAAGTGCTGGTCCACAGTGTGGTGAAGTGCTGGTCCACAGTGTGGTGTGGAGAAGTGCTGATCCACAGTGTGGGGAAGTGCTGGTCCACAGTGTGGGGAAGTGCTGGTCCACAGTGTGGGGAAGTGCTGGTCCACAGTGTGGTGAAGTGCTGGTCCACAGTGTGGTGTGGAGAAGTGCTGGTCCACAGTGTGGTGTGGGGAAGTGCTGGTCCACAGTGTGGTGAAGTGCTGGTCCACAGTGTGGGGAAGTGCTGGTCCACAGTGTGGGGAAGTGCTGGTCCACAGTGTGGGGAAGTGCTGGTCCACAGTGTGGTGTGGGGAAGTGTTGGTCCACAGTGTGGTGTGGGGAAGTGCTGGTCCACAGTGTGGTGTGGGGAAGTGCTGGTCCACAGTGTGGTGTGGGGAAGTGCTGGTCCACAGTGTTGTGTGGGGAAGTGCTGACCCACAGTGTTGTGTGGGGAAGTGCTGGTCCACAGTGAGGTGTGGGGAAGTGCTGACCCACAGTGTTGTGTGGGGAAGTGCTGACCCACAGTGTTGTGTGGGGAAGTGCTGGTCCACAGTGTGGTGTGGGGAAGTGCTGGTCCACAGTGTGGTGTGGGGAAGTGCTGGTCCACAGTGTGGTGTGGGGAAGTGCTGACCCACAGTGTGGTGTGGGGAAGTGCTGGTCCACAGTGTGGTGTGGGGAAGTGCTGGTCCACAGTGTGGTGTGGGGAAGTGCTGGTCCACAGTGTGGTGTGGGGAAGTGCTGGTCCACAGTGTGGTGTGGGGAAGTGCTGGTCCACAGTGTGGTGTGGGGAAGTGCTGGTCCACAGTGTGGTGTGGGGAAGTGCTGACCCACAGTGTTGTGTGGGGAAGTGCTGGTCCACAGTGTTGTGTGGGGAAGTGCTGGTCCACAGTGTGGGGAAGTGCTGGTCCACAGTGTGGGGAAGTGCTGGTCCACAGTGTGGTGTGGGGAAGTGTTGGTCCACAGTGTGGTGTGGGGAAGTGTTGGTCCACAGTGTGGTGTGGGGAAGTGTTGGTCCACAGTGTGGTGTGGGGAAGTGTTGGTCCA